CGAGTGGTACACTCGGCGCTGTAGCCTTCGGAGTGGCACTGCTGGAGCTGGAGGCCCTGGAGCTGCTAGTGTTGGAGGTGCTGGTGCTGTTGGCACTACTGGTCCCGGGGGTGCTCATGCTGGTGGCGCTGGAGCTGCCGGAGCTGGTGGTGCTGCTAATGCTGGAGCTGCTGGAGCTAGTGGTGCTAGTGTTGCTCGAGGTGCTGGAGCCGCTAGTCCTAGAGGTGCTCGTACTGGTGGTATTGGAGCTGCTAGAGCTGGTGGTGCTGCTGCTGCTGCTGGAGGTGCTGGAGCTACTGGTCCTGGGGGTGCTCGTAGTGGAGGCACTCGAGCTGCCGGAGCTGGTGGTACTACTACTACAGGAAGTACTGGAGGTGCTGGAGCTGCTGGTCCCGGAGATGCTCGTACTGGAGGCACTGGAGTGGCCGGAGCTGGTGGTGCTGCTGCTACTGGAGGTAGTGGAGGTGCTGGAGCTGCTGGTCCTAGAGATGCTGATGCTGGAGGTAGGTGCTAGAGCTGCTGGTCCTGGAGGTGCTTGTGGTGGAGGCAGTGCAGTTGCCGGAGCTGGTGGTACTGCTGGTGCTGGAGGTACTGGATCTGCTGGAGCTGGTGGTGCTGGTGGTGCTGGAGGCGCTGGCGCTGCTCGTCCTGGAAGTTCTGGAGGTACTCTCTCGCCGCAGCAGCTATGCGAGTGGTACACTCAGCACTGCCGCCTTTAGCGTGGCGCTGCTGGGGCTGGATGCACTGCGACTGGAGGCGCGGGAGCTGGAGGTACCGGAGCGGTCGGAGCTGGTGGTGCTGCGGACACTAGAGCTGTAGGCGTTGGAGCTGGTCACCCGGGAGCTGGAGGTGCTGTAGCTGAAGGCGCTGGAGCTGGAGGCGCTGGAGCTGGAGTTTCTAGAGCTGCTGGAGGCCCTGGAGCTGTTGGTACTAGTACTGGAGGTGCTGGTGCTGGAGGAGCTGGTGCTGGTGGTGCAGCACAACCGTGACTGTTCTTCGCTCCGCCGTCACTATCATCTCTGCCGCCGCCTGGCTCGGTGCTTCGCCAGGTTCTTAGCCTCCCGTCTTCTACTGGTCTCCCGTTATAGCCAGGCTCCCCACTGCCTACTCCCTCTCCTTACACAGAGCAGACCAACTCACTTATAGAGCGTCGTGGGCCTGCGTCTTATCCTGCCTCGCCTGTTTGCTCTGTTCGCACTGGTCGTCGTGTTTCGCGTCAGCGTCCTCCTCCTGTCCCCGGCATGCACCATATGGCACTTTGTACTTCCTCTATTCCACAGCGTGTCCCTCTGCCGTCTCCTCCTGCGTCCTCTCTTGCTGACGGACCCGACCGTGAGTGTGACCTGGTTCATGCTGCCAGTCCTACTTTTACGCGTCTCTTAGCCACTGTTGTCTTCAAGGCTTGTTACATTGCACGAGGCTTTAGTCAGCGACAGGGAATTGACTTCTTCCAGACCTTTTCCCCTACCCCGAAGATGACCACTCTTCGAGTGCTGCTGCACGTCGCCGCTCAGCATAACTACGAGCTTCACTCTTTTGACTTCAGCTCAGCTTTCTTGCAGGGTAGCCTGCACGAGGAGATTTGGATCCGCCGTCCACCTGTCTTCACTGGGTCGTTTCCTGCAGGTACCCTGTGGAGCCTCCAACGCCCAGTCTACGGTCTCCGCCAGGCCCCTCGTGAGTGGTACCACACACTGAGGACGACACTTGCGGCACTTGGGTTTGCTCCTTTGACTGCAGACCCGTCGATATTTCTCCGCACCGACACTTTGTTGCCGCCGTTCTACATCCTCGTGTACGTCAACGTCTTGTTTTTTGCCACTGCTGGCACCGAGGCACTCGCCCTTGTGAAGTCGGAGCTGCAAAAGAGACACACGTGCACAGACCTGGATGAACTGTGCAACTATCTTGGCTTGCAGATCACCCGGGACAGAGCACGCCGCACCATCACACTGGCTTAGTCACACATGGTGCAGCAGGTCCTTCAGCGCTTCGGCTTCACTTGGTCCTCGACAGAGTCCACTCCTCTGGCTATCGGTCACTTGCTCTCAGGCCCACCTTTGGACGAGTCCGTAGAGCCGAGTGGCCCGTATCCAGAGCTAGTGGGCTGCCTCATGTACCTCATGACCTGCACTCGTCCTGACCTTGCGTACCCTCTTGGCCTTCTAGCACGCTACGTTGGTGCAGTCTCCTCTCCTCCCGCAGTTGCCTTTGCCGTTGCTGAAGGTTTCCCGTTCCAAGGGATGATGGGCAGCTGCCACAGGTCCTTGATGCAGCTGCTCTTCTCCTCCAAATCCCACGGCAGCAACTTCCCAAGCTTTGCACAACAGCTGGTTGGGCCGAACGTCACTTTGGCCTTGCTCTTCTGGAGCAGGCGCACAGAAAGAAGGTTAGCGGACAAACCTTCAACCAACAACACATTCCCCAGCCCCACAAGCCCCCCTTTAGCTCCCATTACCTTGGCATTCCCCACACCAATCACAGGGAGCAAGGCACCTGAAGCGGTAGCCACAAACTTGATCTTCCCAGGGGGTTTTACCTTGTCAAGCAAATCTGCCCGTGGGGTCATGTGACTTGTGCAACCTGAATCAATCACCCAGTGAGTAAGGGGGTGCATGACTACCTTCCCAACCAAACCCACATCACCGTCACTCCCTTTCACATCCTCAACTATGAGGAACATCTCAGGGTCGGCTTTACCTTGTGCACCATCACCTTGTGCACCTGAACCTTGCACAACACCACCTTGCGCCCGATCACCACTTGGTGGCTTCATGCCTGGAGGCGCCCATCCCTCAGGCCAGCTGAAACACTTGAACCACAAGTGTCCAGCCTTCTTGCAGTACCAGCACGCACCCTCCATTCGGGTGCTCCCCCTGCCACCAGAGCTCCCATGCCCCTCACTGTAGTCACCTCGGCCTCTCCCTTTGCCAAAGCCTCTCCCGCGGCCTCGGCCTTCCCCCCCCCCCCTCTTCCTCTGCTGCCTCCTGCAGCTCCATACCCCTCAGCAGTTTTCTTAGCAGCACCACCTCCTGTGTGGCGCCTGTGGAAGTCCTCCTGCAGAATCTGCTGCCGTAGCCACTCAGGTGTCCACAGGTCCTGCTGAGTGTTGAGGGTGGGGATGAGGTTGTCCCACGAATTGTCAAGCACCGAGATTATCTTGGTGTACTGCTGCATCTCCGACACTTTGCTGCCCGCCGCTGCCATCCTCGCATAGGTGTCCTTGATCTTGTCAAGGACCTGCTTCACATCGTCTCCCAGTCGCATGAAGAGGGCAGCCAACTCCTTCTCCAATACGATCACCATCGGCAGCGTGTTGGGCTGAATCACATCACGCAGTAGCTTTCACGCCTTGGGTCCCGAGTCGTCGAGCTCCACCAAATCCTTAATGTGCTGAAACATATCATTGTTGACCGATTGTAGGATTAGGTCGTATAGCACCGCGCTTTTTTCATTCCACCGATCACGGGCGTCGCCTTCCTCCAGCTTCTTCTCTTCTCCCATCGCAAGTTTCAGCAGCTTGTCGTGCTTAAACACACTCCGCATCCGCCCGCTCCATTCCTCATAGTTGGAGCCATCCAAAACCTCGATCTTAGATGGTGGCGGCTCATTCCTCTTCTCAGCTGCATCTCCACTCCCTTGACTCATTTCCTTTGCTCCCAATCACAGGTTCCAGCTCCCCCTTTGTTGTCCAAACCAAAGTCCCACTCAATCTCCACAAGTGTCGGCGCCAACGAAATATCGGCAAAGTTTCCTCTTAGCAGAAGACACGTCCAACCTCCAGAACTCCACTTACGCATGCCCACAGGCCATGGTGGGTCTAGGAGGGTCTTCACACTTTAGTAGACTCTCCACAAAGTCCTTAATCAACTCTGATACCACTTGTTAGAGACTAAGGACGAGGTCTACGAAGATTATGGGCCTAAATTTCTCAAAAACGTTGGCTTATAATTCTGGGCAGAAACGTCGCCGTTGCAAGAAACGTCGTCGACAAAAATTGCACCATTGAAACTTCACCAAGCTCAGATATGTTGTAGCCCTGGTTCGTGGCTACAATTCCCAATTTGAATCGTACAATAAGGTGAAGTATTTCTTGACTTCTTAATTTCGGCGCACTATGGGGTATGCTGCTATAGAAAACTTACAAATTAACTTACAAGTTTACACAAAAAAAGTTGAAGTAGCTAGAAAACAGGTAGGAGGGAAGAGGAAGACGAGAGTGAAGGTCCCCAAGGAGTCCCCAACCAAGGAAACCCCATACCACACAATTTCCCTCCCTATAGGCATCCCAACTTTGACCTTTGTCACTTTCCAATCCATGCCATTCGGCTGTGAACGAGGGGGCTCCTGAAAATGAGCATCAACCGCTACCTGGAACACCTGCAGCTGACACGAGTGAGCATCCGGGTTGCCGCCCTGAAGTGAGTCACGCCGCACCGCCGACAATCATTTCCGGGCAGAGCAATGCCACGACCCTCAATCCGTTTGCGTTGAAGCCTCACCCAACTTGGCCACACTTGCCAACCTGGTTTGTTTTCTCCCAACCACTTGGCAGCATCTACAGTGATAGGGACGAATTTCCCAATCCCCCAAAAGTTTGTACCCCATATTGAGACACTCAACAAACTTCCCAAAGTCATCGCATCCCAATCAAAACTTCGAACAATTATAACTTCCTCGTTCTTGCTCCGATCGCAACGATTCTTGGTTCGTCGGAAAGCTCTTGAGTAGAGGAGTCACTTTAGATATCTGCCCAAGCAAAATAACATTCACATACTCTCAGGAAATCCAGACCACACCAAACACAAATTCTTGCACATGCTCAGACTACGCATGCAACGCACGAACATATGATGGTAGTGTGCGTGGCGCCTCCCCCCCCCCCTCCCCGTGCATCCGCTTGCGGCAGTTTGCCGCTCCTTTGTAGATGCCCGCAACAGCCTCCGCACTCCAGCGTCTGATGCAGGCGATAGATGCGGTAGATTCCAAGGCTGTCTTCTTCAAGGAGCCGAGCTCCTGGTAGCGGCGTGCCCACTTGAGCTTCTCGCGTACGGTCCATCCGCGTCGCCTTTTCTTACTGTCCTTACTGCGAGGGGAAGGTGGATGGGAGTTGGGGTGGGGTCTTTCAGCTTCGCCTTCTCAGGGAATGAAGGAATCGGGCCTGCCACCTCCGCGTAGTCATCGTTGCTGCTGAGCGCCTTGTTGACCACGATGTCGTCCTTGTTTAGCACCTTCTTCTTCTTCTTCTTCTTCTTCTTCTTCTTCTTCTTCTTCTTCTTCTTCTTCTTCTTCTTCTTCTTCTTCTTCTTCTTCTTCTTCTTCTTCTTCTTCTTCTTCTTCTTCTTCTTCTTCTTCGTCTTCTTCTTCTTCTTCTTCTTCTTCTTCTTCTTCTTCTTCTTCTTCTTCTTCTTCTTCTTCTTCTTCTTCTTCTTCTTCTTCTTCTTCTTCTTCTTCTTCTTCTTCTTCTTCTTCTTCTTCTTCTTCTTCTTCTTCTTCTTCTTCTTAGCAGCACCCATGCTGGATCCGGGGTCGCCGTCATTCTTCCGCTTCTTGTTGCTTGGGCGGCGACAAACGGTGGCCTTAGTAGGGGCTTCCCCGACCTTGGTTTTCCCCTTGTCTGAAGCAGTGATGTGCGGTTGAAGCTCCTCCCCCGGACTGTCGTCATCAGAGAGCACCACGCGAGCACACTTCGGCTTGGACTGTAGGCGATGACGCAGCCTCCGCTTTAGAAGCGGAACATCGTCGCCACCCGTGATGCTCCACGGGTCGTCATCGGAGTTTTCACCGTCAAAGAAGACAGCATCAGCACCTCCCTCCGTAGCATGCGCAATTGCGACCACATCCGCGGGCGCAAGAGCATCGGCATCAGCTTCCACATCCTCTTCCGTCCTCGCTTCCGCATCCGCCTCGTTATCAGCCTTCGCATTCGCATCCACCGTCGCTCCCGTTGCATGCGCAGCTGCCTCCACGTGCTCACCATCAGCATCGGCACCTTCCTCGTTGTCCGAATCACCAGCCCGCAACTCTTCCACTTCGTCGTCGCTCCCAACCGGCCGATTCCACCATTCGTCCTCGTCGATGTCGGCAGGGGCTAATTCATCCCCCGAAGCGCTGTCGTCGTGGCCGTTCTCCGGCCAATCCTCGTCGCCGTCATTGCCGTGTTCTTCGTCACCATCGTCGCCGTGTTCTTCGTCGCCGTCGTCCCCGTCACAGCTCGCATGGGAGGCGGCGGTAGATCTTCCCGCCTTGCGCGTATTCTTCGCCATAGCTACATGGATGTCATCACTGGGCGAGTTCATTCGCCCGTAGTTATTCACCTGCACGTGAGGGCGAGGTGAGGACGTGCTTGCGGGAACTTTGCTGCGCATGGTTACGGTAAGCCTGTCGAGAGCAAAGGTTGAGTTGAGATCTAAACTTCCTTGAGCACCAAATGAAGCTCAAGCCCGACTACCCCCCCCAGCCATAGTGCCCCTTCCAAAGGTGCCGAACTGCTCCTCTACGAGGAATCTCCTCGTAGAGGACAGCCCTCGCGCTGCCATCGTGCTGCCAGCAGCATTCTGGAAGCATCCATGCGCTGCTGGCAGCAAAACGACACCGGCAGCATCATTAGTTATTGTCAGCACGGAAGGATGTTGCCAGCAGTGGCAGCTTTGCCGCATCCCTCACGTGGCAAGTGGGGGCGCTGCATGCATCACCACCGAGGTCTCCCTAATTCAAAGGTATAATGGTACCTGGGTGGTTTCTGCACACTTTGCAAATGTTACAGAGTTCTTAATTTTTTTTCCATATATAAGACTTATCAGACACCCTAAACCATCCCAGATACAAGATAACCCAAGCATTTTGAGTGGTGTACAAGATAACACATATATGTCTACTATTCGGGCGATGACGGTAGAAGGATCATGGCCTTGTTGTCGGCATACAAGGTCGGTGCAGAGCGAGGCCGCTCACCAAGGTTGGTGAGCAAGAAGGTCAACAAGCGAAACTCCTATGCCGCCATGGCACCAGCGTAGATCTCTGCCTTTGCACTAGACGAAGCCACAAACAACGACCATGTACACCTCCGCGATACAGCAACAGCACCCAGACTGAAGCAGTAACTCTGAGTCGACAGCTGAGTCTCCATGTCGTCAGCGTAGGAAGAGTCTCAGTGACTAGTCAACACAGCTGGCTGTATCCCTCCAAGCACAAGCCCCATGCCTGATGTAGTCGCCAGGTAGTTCGCCACCCTCACATCAGCTGTCTAGTAAACAGGACGGTGTCTCCCAGTTGCAACAAAGTGAGAGAGGACGCTGAGGGGAAAGGCGAGGTCCGACCGAGCACAAGTTATCAAGTACAAAAGGCAGCCCACAAGCTTTGCATAGGGACCACTAGACCCAAAGGGCTCATCGGGAAAAGGGCCAGTGAGTCGGTGGTCAACGGCAAGAGGAGTGGGTTGTGTGGTGGAGGACTGAATCCCGGACCGCCGAAGGACCTACTGCACCATGTGTGACCGAGTCAGTGTGATGGTGCGAGGGGCTCCGTCCCTGGTGATCTGCAGGCCAAGGTAGCGCTGCAGTTCACCGAGGTTAGTGAACGTCTGTCTCTTCTACAGTTCGGACTTCACCTCAGCCAGAGCTGCCCTGTTTGCTATAGCAAAGACCAAGTCGTCGGCGTAAACTAGTATTAAGAAAGGAGTGGAACCAGCGCGAACAAACAGCGACGGGTCGGCAGAGGAAGGATGAAATTTAAGGTCACGAAGCGACGGAATGAGGTGACTAGGAAAGGAAGGCAATACAAATATGAAACCCTAACTGAGTTGTACTCACTAAGGAGCACCTCACTTTAGCCTAAAACACACATTAACATTTGACAATTTGCATGACGTGCGTTAGTAAGGATGTTTCGTGTCTGGCCAGCGAAAATGGTACGGAACGCATGATTGGCTAGAAATGTCAAAACATATTCATATGTTGTTAGTTCTGCTAGGCTATAGTGAGGTGCTTAGTATAGAGTACAACCCCCATTAGGGATTCATACTTGTATCACCCTGTTGCTAGTCTAACCTCATTCCTTGTGCATTACGTCGGGCATGGGGTTTGTGCTTGGAGGACGGGACTCAGTGGTACTCACAGGTCACTCTGACGCTTCCTCGGCTGACGACCAGGCGACTCAGCGGACGTCATAGGGTTACACCTTCAGTCTTGGCTCCGGCTTTGTCTCGTGGAAGTCCACTCGTTCGTCTTCTGTGCTTGGTTCCAGCTGTGAGGCCGAGATCTACACTGGGGCTATGGCTGCACAGGAGCTACGCTGGCTGACCTACCTTCTGACCGACTTGGGGGAGTGGCCTCGGTCTTCTCCAGTTTCTACATCAACAGCAAAGCCATGCTTGCCCCGTGTCACGAGCAGAGACTGGAGCTCAGAACGAAGCACATTGCTCTTCGCTACTTTTTTGCTCGAGAGCTGCAGCAGCGAGGTCAGCTTCGCATTTCCTACGTGGCATCTCGGGCCAACACTGCTGATGTCTTCACCAAGGCCCTCGGGTCTGGTGATCATCATCGTTTTTGCACTGCTCTTGGGCTTCTGCCCACTCTGCCTCACGTGCTGGTTGCTTGACTATGTCTTGTACTGCCTCATCACTGAAGGGCAGGACAGCGCGCGGGCTGCAGGGCTGCACGGGAAGGGCAGCGCACGGGCTGCATGGCGTGCGGGCAGCAGGGCAGGGCAGCGCGCGAGCTGTAGGGCAGGGCGACGTGCAAGCTGCAGGGCAGGGAGGAGTGCGGGCTGCAGGGCAGGACTACGCGCGGGCTGTAGGGTAGGGCGGCGTGCGAGCCGCAGGGCATGGCGACGCGTGGGCTGCAGGACAGGGCGGCGCGCGAGCTGCAGGGTGGTGCGGCGCGGGCCGCAGGGCAGGGCGGTGCGCTGGCTGCAAGGCAGGGCGGCGCGCGGGCTACAGGGTTGCACAGGCAGGGCAGCGGGCGGGCTGAAGGGCGTGCGGGCAGCTGGGCAGGGCAGCGCACGGGCTGCAGGGCAGGGCGGCGCGCGGGCTGCAGGGCAGGGCAGCGCGCAAGTAGAGCGTAAGGCAGGGTAGAGCGCGTAGGACAGCGCAGGCAGGGCAGCGTGATGAACGCTGTTCGGGCAGGGTAGTACAGGCTGAATACCATGTCAAAATCAGCACGTAGGAATGATGGACTAGGTAACAAGGATGAGTACAAGTACTACCTAACCCTAAAGCGTTGTGCCCCTTAGGGTATGCACCACTACAGCCTAGAGATAACAAATGTAATTTGACAAGCATAACATTGTTAGGGTTGTATTTGTACCACCCTTGTTTCCTAATTGATCATTCTGATGTTCGTACTATGACATGGTATCGCGCCTAGGTTTCTCCCGCCATTCAACCTCGCCCCGTCCCAGCCAAAACTAGCACGACCCCCTCCAAATCGCTCGCCAGTCAGCTTCTCTCCTCCCCCACCCCCAAATCGCCCGTTAGTCAGCTTGTAGGCTAGCTGCGGCCGCGTTGCAGCCAGCCAGCCAGCCGCGCTTGCACACGTGCAACTAGCCTCGCGCGCACAGCCAGCCAGCTGCACATGCGCACTGCAAGCCAGCAGCTCACGCACTCAGCAAGCCAGCCGCGCACCCGCACACGCACGGCTAGCGGCGCAGCAATAGTCGCGCGCGCAACAGCATGCACGCGCAAGTGTAGCTGCGCGCATACCCGCACACGCGTGCGCAGTAATAGTCGCACGTAGCCACGCAGCTGCACGCATACCCGCACGTGCAGCAGTTGCCACATGCGCAGCTACAGTCACATGCACCGTAGCCGCCGCACGTGCAACCTCTGCTGCACGCATAGCAGCAACTGCCCGTGCAGCACCTACAGCGCCTCCCCTACCAGCTCACGTCTGTCCTCTTACCTGCACCTACCGCAACCTCCCCTACCGACCCGTGCTCCTGGTGACATCTTTCGCAACGGCTGGAGGCCGCACCCTATCCTTGTTATTGGCGTCGTTCTTAGGGCATCGTTCCATAGTGTAATTTTAAGGCTTGCTCGCCACTCCTAGTCTAGCCACTCTCTCTTTTTTCACTCCTCCCTATAGCCCTTCTTAGACCCGTTTTTTTCAGGTTCGCCCTTCGTTCGCTTCTAGCACCGACCATTCCTAGCCTTGCGCTCCTAGATAGGTAGCGTGCTTGTCATGGCGTCCGTTCGAGTCCTGCATTTTGATGCGGGCAAAAGAGCCCTAGAATCTCCTACCTGGCTCCACCTCCAGAGTCAGTGCCATGATGATGACACGCTATGGGCGCATGCCTCTGGTGACCTGCCTTTACGTCGGCACCCTGCTGACCTTCCTACTAAGCCTATTGACGCAGAACCGGAGCGCTTTGTAAGGCCCGTATAGATCGGTCGGTGGGGAGTGCTTTGTAAGGTTTGTATAGATCTGTCGATGTGGCTGTCTCATGACGCTGCGGCACGTATTGTTCTCAGCAACATTCTCCTCGTGATTGAGGAGGCCCATTCAGCCAGGTTCGATCTGCCAAGGATATGTTTCCTGCAATTAAGAACCGCTAGTCCACCTCTCTTGGTCGCCTCTTCGTTCCATTTCATTTTCCAAACCTAGGAGCGTTTAACCGTACTGCTGACCTTGTCACCCACCTGCGCTTGCTTGACGTCAGCTACCGTGCTGCTTACACTGAAGCTGAGCTTGCAGCCACCCCCCCCGCCCATGCACATCACTATTCACTTCATCGTCACTAGCCTCCTTGACCGCCTTGCATCTGTACATGACGCGCTTCTTTGGAAGCAACCTAGTGCACTCACTATCGACGTCCTTGAGACACCTCTCAAGGACATCGAAAGCAACATCCACTCCGTTGCCTCCACCTCTACCGCTTTAGTTCCCCCGCTCTTTCAGGGGTGTACTGTCCCACAGCTCCCCACCTTCACTACTTCTCTTGCCTCTAGTGCGTCTCCTGTTTCTGACGAGACTGCAGCCGTTCCACCACGAGTGGGCTGCCCAGGGGCAAGGGAGGTAAGAAAGGGGGGAAGGGTAGTAGCGGTGGTGGTGGTGGTGGTGGAGGGGAGGGCGGAGATAGTGGAGGCACTAGTGTGTCTAGTGGAGGCGGCACTGGAGGTCGTACTGGGCCTGCGGGCCCGCCGGGAGGGGTGCTGGACTGGCTTCTCGGTACACGGTACAGCAGCGGCAGCAGTCCCAGAAGTAACAGCCACATCAAGGACAGCAGCAGCAGCCACAACAGGGACAGCAGCAGCACCAGGCACATCTTCAGCTGCAGGCTCAGCGGCAAGTGCAGCAACAAGGTCAGCGGCAGGTGCAGTAGCAATCGTAACAATGGGGGCCTGGTGGACCAAGGAGCGCTAGGCGTCGCGTGGTGTCACTCCTCCTCCTTGCCAGTACCTGATCCAGGCTGGCAGTCGTCTGGGTGGCCCTTGTGGCTGTCTTCACCCTCCCGGTCAGTGCTTTGCGTAGCTCACGGACTGGGTCCACACACGGTAGGGGTTTGGTCCCTCTCCGGGCCAGGCCCCTCTTCGGACTGGGCCCCGCTCGCTTGCTCTCTTGGTCTTGCTTTGTTCAACATGTCTGCGGCAGAGTTGCCTTGTGATCTGCT